TCTACCAGTTAGGTGTATGCAGCTCGACCATTGGAGACTTATGCGTTACCTGTTTGCGGTCGAACCGAGAGTTAACAAAACTCTCCTTATGAAAAAGGTTTTCCAATTAAGATATCGAAGGATAAAAAGGTTTGAAGTTGTTTTTGTGTTTTTTAGAGAAGAAGTGTTTTGAGTTTGATTTGTAACTCATGTTGCACTAAAGACAATGACTTAGGAGCGAATGCGTCGCATATCACCCTAAGGATGTACACTAAACACTCTAGGCAATTGAGAGGAAGCTACTAAATCACCATTTCCTAAGTACTTAAGGCTCATAAGCACAACATTCATTAGCCTTTATTAAGTGTTTTGAAATTGTTTGAAGATGAGAAGAGAAAGGACACACTAAAGGGATACTAACTCAAACCTAGTAGTTGTCATGCAAAGTGGACTTAGAGTTGGGATGAAAGGGAATGCTACCTAATGTTATCATGCATAGGTTCAAGCCTAAGGTCTATCATAATCTCAAGATATTAGAGGTCCTAAGGGAACATGGCAAAGAAGAAAGAAGAAGAATGAAGCATAAGAAATATGAAATAAATAAGAATGCATATGCAATGAAACACACAAGCAAGGGAGGAAAAAGCGTGGGGTAAATATCTCCACAAGCACATCTCGACCTTTATTAATGCAAGAAAGGAGCTGCACAAAGAATGCACACCAAACAAACAAATGCAAGAAGCAAGCAAACATGAACATGCAAGCACATCATTAATTTGAACAACAACTACGAATGTATGCCCTCAAGTGGAAAACGAAACGCATTTCGACAAAACCATGATTAAACAATCAAGAACAGCGACATATATCCAAAACATCTCACTCCTAATGCATCATATTAATCTATGAAGATTCGAAGTGAAACGATATCACAACAACCATGAAAAACAGCAAAACAGGCCTGCTGGAACAGTGTTAATCGATTAACACCAGGGGTTAATCGATTAACCATTGAAAAATGCTTTAAAATTTAAATATTTAAGTTGGTTAATCGATTAACCAATTGGTTAACCGATTAACACTGTTCCAACAGCAGAAAACAACAGTTAAAAAACACTTTTCAGCAGCTTATCACATAAGCAATCAACCACATGATCTTGTAATCAATTGTGCACGAAATTAAACCAGAAAACAATGATCCAATCAATATGAAAACACATTTAAACATCAAGATCATGAATCACATGGATCAAGCATCAACCAAATCAATCAAAAATGAAAATCAACATGATTATGCAAATAAGCTAGAAAAAAAAGAATCAGATCTAGAATTTCCAACCTACAAAGCGGAGAATTGCTTTGGTGAATGTTGATTTACTTCAAATGTGTAGATCCAAGCAAGAAATCCAGAATTCCTTAAAGATCCAAGTCAATTCTTGTAGTAGAAGTGATGATCAACCAAAATCAAGCCAAATTACTCCAAATAAGCAATTCCAACACCACTTCAAAATTTAGATCCAAGTTTGCACGAAAATTGAATGAAGAAATTGATTCAATGAGGATGATGGATGAAGGTTTGAGCTCAAGAATTCATTGATTCCAATGAAGAATCAAGGAATTCAATGAATGAAGAACTTTGGTGAGGGTTTTGGAAGTTGAGAGAAAATTGAGAGAATTGAGATGAATTCTGAAAATGAGAGTGAAAATGAAGATTAGATCTGTGAGGTTTGGAGTAAATCAATTAAATACCCCTTAGGTTTGGATCCAAAATGAGGTTTGGAATGTGGTTTGTGAAACTTTGGAATGGGATTAGGAATGAGCATTTGGAGGAAATTTGAAATTAACCAAATTTTGAAATGGTTCTAGATCCTTCCTAAGTGTAAAATTGAATTCCCAAGTGATCAAAATTAGACCCCAAAGTGACTCCCTTTGAAAATTCACGTGCAGAGGCAAAATCTGCACTGGTTAATCGATTAACCATATGGGTTAACTGATTAACACCTTCAAAAATTCAAATTTGGCTTAATTTTGACTTGGTTAATTAGTTAACCAAATGGTTAATCGATTAACACCTTCAAAATTTGAAGTTTGGCGCCTTTTGGAGGGAAATTTTCCCTTTTGTCCGTTTTCACTTGTTTTGAGCTCTGTTAAGCTTTTGAAACTTGTTTTTGAATGCTATAACCATGAGAATGCTTGCGATAGCCTGAATGCTGTCTTCTGCACTAAAATATCCTGCAAAATAAAATAAAATCGACCGCTCGATCACTGGGCAAAATAAATGCCAGGGACTCTGATGCTTGCTGTTTCGTCTCTTGCACCAAAAATGAAAACTGAACCACAGGAAAACCTTGATCCCCTGTCTCAAGAACGAATGCTATGCAAATGCAGACATGCAAAAATGCAAGGAAACAAAAGCCAGGTACGAAAACCGGTTGGGCAAATTTTGGGGTACAACAAGCGTCAACCATGTCTATATCACACAATTAAAAAATGGTCTAAAATCCACACAGGCATGCTCAAGTTGTTGCAACTTTTGATGGTACTCCACCTCATCATTAGCCCTTACAAGTTCATGCCATATATTCTCTATCGACTCTCTCATATAATTCACAACAAACTTCTTGCACTTCGCTTTCACATTCTTGTTGATGTGAAATCGACAAAGCATATTAATTGCCGTTGGAAATGCTTTTTCAATTGCTTTCATCAAAGCAAGATCTCTATCCGTTAAAATCACTTGTGGTCATAACCCTTGTTTAGTGAACAACTGTTTCAACTTATCTAATACCCAACACAAAGTCTCTTTTTGTTCAGATTCCATATAGGCAAATGCAACAACAAATGTTAACTCAATTGATGTCATACCAACTACTTCAAACAAATGTTGTCTGTACTTATTTGTTTTGTAAGTACTGTACACAATCAACACAATAAGAAACATATTCAACAACTTCACTGATTCTGGATGCGTCCAGAATATCTCTCTCACAACTTCAGACTCATATTTTTTCCTACTCCAATAAACATAATCAGAATCCTCTATCAACTTAAAAAATTATTGCATTTCCGTTCTAGGACCCCTGATGTCTTTTTAAATCTTACTCTTATGTTTATATATTTGAGTTATTCAAGTCAAATTCCCCGGATCTCGTTCTTGCAATGACAGCAATATGTGTCTTGGTGGAACATGGCGTTTTGACAAATCAGCAATATATTGTTGGTCATCAACATTAAGTCGACGTACAAACGCATGACCTTCAAATCTATCAGGTAAACCATGGTTGTGAAATCCATATTTTACGTCAATATTTCAACCAGAACCATCTTTAGAAGTTGTTGACCTAACTTTGAATAGACAACCACCTTTATTGGTAGCACTTTGTGTTTCACTATCAACTTCTTTGTATTTTCCACCTCTATCACAACCAAATATGACTTTGTCACTTCTTCCTCTCTTGTCAGTTTTGATGTCAGAACGAGTTATTATAACAGTGACTCTATTTTTGATTCCAACCTCCCTAATCCACATAGTCGCCTCTTCTTGTGTAGCAAATTTTTCTGTAGTAGAGAATATATCCGTCGTATCTACAAATGTTTGGTTTTTGTCGCATATCATTAAAGGAATATCCATGTCTCCTAAAAGAAGTAACAAAAATTAAAAAATAATAATAATAAAAAAAAACACGTTCCGAAACTCTTATGTGAAAGTTATCTGATATAAAAAAAGTAATGAATCAGAATACTTCAACATAAGTTTTTCAGAATAATAAATAATTCAAACCAGATAACTTGTATACAAGTTATCTAGAGTTTTTTGGACATTTAAAATCAAACTGGATAACTTGTAAATAAGTTATCTGGTTAAGTAAAATTAACACACCGAATGTATAACAATAAAGTTTTTTGGTTTGATAATAATATCAACTAGATTTCTTTCCGTGTAATTATTCGGTATTCTTCTTATACTTTTAAATATTTATTTTTGACTCATTTAATTGTGCAGTAAAAAAAAAATTAAAATTAAAAAATTAAAATTGAAATATTTGCAGAGTATAGGTATAATTGAAAGGGGTATGTGCCGGCTTTATAACCAAAGCATGCTCAGAACCCAAACGCTCCATCTTTCACGATTGACCTGAGGATCCTTCTCCGTCGCGTCGGAAATCGCCTCTGGCGGCGGCGGATCCCCTAACTCTACCAAACTTACATCAATCTCAACGCATCTCCTTGATTATTTCAACTCCGTCCACCATTATTCCTTAATCTAAGCCTAAAATCCAAATCGCGGTGAAATGTCCAAGAAACCTAATTCATCAATCTTAAATTACATGGCAAGTGAACACGAAATCAAGCAAACACTATGGGACTATGAATCAGTTAAGCGCAAGGAGCACGGTGGTACAAAGAAGTCGTAAAAGGTGAGAAGAAATACCAAATTGGAGAGGAGACTTTCTCCGACGATAACTCCGGCGACGCTCCGAGTTCCGGTATGTTTAATTTTTTATTCTTCTTTCTTCTTCTCTCTTCTGTTCATCAATTTTTCCTCTTTTCTCTTACTCTTTCTCTGATTCTGCAGGTGCAAGAATGTTGTTGTGTGTTGAACTTTGTGTTGTACTCATTCTTGAGTAATGTTGTACTGAGTGATGTGAGGAGGTTGAACTGTTGCGATTTGCTCTTGTTCTTGTTGATTGTGTGTAAATTGTTGTGTAGTTCTTGTTGTTGAATCTGTTACAGGGAGAGTTTTTGCAGAAACTATGGGAGATTGAAAGGGACAAATATGAAAGAGGCTTCAATGAGAATGGGAGAATTTGAAATTGTTATGGATATTGGAGGGGGTGAGTTGTGATATGTTTGTAAAAAATAATTGGTTGCAGAGAGATTGAAAAGGGAGGTTGAGGGTGATGAATGCAAAGTGAGAGGAAAATGGAGAGTGTGTAGTGAAAATGGTGAAGAAATAGGAAAGTGAAGTAGAGAAAATGAAGGAGAGGAAGAAGTGAAGGGAAAGAATGTGGAGCTGCAAAATGAGGTGAGTTTCTGCATTTATAAAGAGGGTAACTTGGGAATTAAATTGAGTCAGTTAGATTTGGGGATGAATTCTGTTATGACATTTGTAGGTGGTTAGTTTATTGGAACTGTTTTAAAAGTTAGTTAGATACAAGGAAATGTTATTACACCTGTTAAGAAGTTAAGTGTAGTTGCCATAGTTGGAATCTTTTAGTAGTCAGGATTTAGTCAAATGGAGGTTAATATTCTATAAAAACTCCTACTGTTAGTGGAAACTTATCGAATTAGTTATGAGGATAGAAACTGTGATGAAACTGACCTGGAGCTTATGTTAAAGCAATGCGTGAAACTGTGATGAAACTTATCGAATTAGTTTTGGCTTGTGAAGTTCTGTTGTGTTAGCTTGATTAGTAAATATGGATGCAATGCGAATTTAGTCATGGATACCAGGCTGTTAGCTGATTGTGAATGGTTAAGTAAATGCCTTGCTGTAACTGATTTGTGTTGGAAGAATGTTAACTGTTAGTTTGTTGGACTGTTAGTTAGTTAGGGACTGGTAATTGAGTCATTGTGCTATGAATTCAATTAGTGTGAAACTCTGTTATGATTTTTGGATATGAAATCCTATTATGCTTGTGTTGAGAAAGTGTTTCTGTGGCAATTAGTTTTGATGCTGCTAGTAACTAGTGAAATTAGTTAGCTGAGTTAGTGTTAACTTGATTATGCTAGGATGTAGTGAAATTCGTAATTCAGTCATAAGTAAGTCGCAATTAGTTTGTTAAAAACTGCTAGTTTGTTTCTGAAATTCTGTCTTCAATTATATATGATGTAGTGATCTGGTATGATTGGTTTAAGATGAACCAAGTTATTGTGTTTGATATTCCGTTATGGTAGTGACGCCTTAAATTGTATATGAGTCGTTATGGATAGCAGGCTGCGTAATTGGTCTGACTGTGAATGCCTGAATAGATTGAAATTAGGATGAGGTAATTGTATTGATGAACTTAACATGTTAATTTGGTAACTGGTGCACTGCCTGCTATTGTTTTTTGAATGTTAGAAACTCCGTTAAGTTATTTGAATTGTTGGTTAAGAATTGTTAGCAAGGGACTGTTTGTGAATTTTGGTGTGGAGTTGAGTCACGAGCTAGAAAAATTGGTTGAATGCTACAATTGATCACAATTATCTTGTGTTATGGTTTTGGCTTTGTTGATTTGAGATACCAAAATGAAATCAATTATGTAATGAGTTTTGTCCTACTGTTGCACTTGGTGTTGTACTTGATGCATGAATTGTAACGGTCATGTATTTGAATAAGTGTTGGTTCCCAAATGTTTCACTTGTATTTATTGGTTTTCTTTTGGCAGGGTTAATGAGAATAAGGAGGAATGGCATCAAGGACCACGAAAAGGCTTGGGAGGCTTATAAGAAAATAGAGATGGGATGATGAGGAAAAAGTAGGAAATTGTGGTTTAAGGACAGTAGTTGACTTTGGTCAAAATGTATTTCCGTACAATTGCAATTAGTTTCTCCTGGGATGTAATTGGATATTTGAATTTGATTAAGAATGGATATTTGAGATTTGTAATGGTTTAGAATATGGATAAAGAATGGGTTTAAAAGATATAGTTATGGATTTTAGTTTGATTTTGAATATGGATATGGATATGGATATTAGATATTGACTTAGAACTTGAAATTTGGATATGGATTGGAATTTGAAAATTGTTTTTGGTTTAATTGGATATATATGGTTTTAGAATACCAAAAAAAAAAGGACATTTAAATGTGGATTTGAAATACGCGCTTGGGTATTTATTGGATATGGACTTATTTTGGATTTTTTATATGAGCTTAAAAATTGGGTATTTGTTAGGCTTGAAATTGTGAATGTGGATTTTGGTAATGGACTTTGAATTGTTTATGGATTTAAAATGCGTTTGAAATTTTAATGTATTAGGAAGATCCTAAAAGTCCCACATTGATTGGAGATAGAATATTGAAATAGTTTATATAAAGTGACACTCCTCATCTTACCAACCGGTTTTGTAACTCTAATATGGTATCAGAGTCTATCGATCGAACCTTGGGCAGCCCACCGTTTAAAATCCACGTACCAAGCCCAAAAAGAGTGCTGAACGTGAGGGGGTGTATTAGGAAGATCCTAAAAGTCGTGAGGGGGTGTATTAGGAAGATTCTAAAAGTCGTGAGGGGGTGTATTAGGAAGATCCTAAAAGTCCCACATAGGTTGGAGATAGAACATTGAAATAGTTTATATAGAGTGACACCACTCACCTTACCAATCGGTTTTGTAAGGTTGTGTTAGGCCAAACTCTAATATAATGAAAACACGACCTTCCACTCCATGATCTTGAACTTGAACATGACCTTGAATGAAGTATGATCTTGCTCCCCATGATCTTGAACTTAAACATTCCATGAACTTGTGCATGCTAAGGTCTATCTATATGTAACAAACAACACCAATCCAATTCATGGTATATCCCAAAATGATCAAAGTCATAAACTAGAGATTAGAATTCTACAAATGGGCATCTAAAACCAGGTGCCACCCAATCCTTTATGCTTGATTCTTAACCCTCTTGTACCAATGTCTCAAATACTTTGATCCAAACCCTCATTGAAGGCTATATGACCAAGGAAATAAACCCTAATCAAATAATAGTGACCACCAAAAGACGATACCCTTGATGATTATTGATCAAATATACAAGCTTGTTATTAATGAATGCATGGTGTGCCAGATGACCTAATGGAAGGTAAATGCATGAAGAATGTGAGATGCGTAAGCCATATGATTTGAATGCAAGGGTATGACAAATTTGAGGTATGACATCCTTACTCAAAAGAACAGATGTTGTGTCAGAATCTGACACAACAATCCTATCCATTCCCTTAACTACTGACAATCCACAAACTGACATTCCACTTCCTCCGCCCTATATCCAAGCCCAATTGGAAGAATATGGATATTTTCTCTTTGATAAATTGAAGAAGCTGGATGTTGAGAGAACTACAACCTCTAACCCTATAACTTATGCTCCAAAGTGGGATTCTTTTACAGCCTTTGTGGTATCAGTTCTTCAGAATTTTAAGTACATCTCCTCAAAATATGGTGCTTCTACCAATCAGAAGCAAGAGTTGTTGGAAGCTAAGATAACCTCTGTTGCTGCTAATCAGGAAGCTATGACTACTAAGCAGAAGGAGATGGATGATAGGATGAAAGCTATGGATTCTAAACAAGATGTCATGGGTATTGATCTAAAAGCAATTATGGAGTTGCTGAAGCAGAAACCTTAGGCATTAGGATTTAGTCACCATTTATTTTTTCTTTTATGAACTTATGCTAAATTTTTTTGGTTAATGAAAAACTTTTCTTCAGTATATTTTCTGTACTTTTATTTATCTTTTCGTTGATGACAAAAGAGGGAGAGATAATGAGTATTTAAACACCTAAATCTAATGATTTTTTTACTATGCTTCTGAAGACTTATGATATTGTGCTTTTAAGGAATTTAATTATTCTAGATAGGATTTAGGGGGAGCTTACAAACCTCACCCTCTGGACTATCAGACTCAGGGGAAGTTTACAAACCTCAGACTCTAAAGTAAACATGTTTATTAAGTCAACATGTTTGTCATCATAAAAAAAGGGAAGATTGTTGGAATAACAATAGTTGATATCATATCCCTTGAGTTTTGATGATAACAAAGTATTTAAAAGAAAAATTGAGTATTCTAACATCTGTTTAAGTTTGCTAGAATATAATAATTAAGAACAGACGAAGAGATGTTGAGGGATCCGCATCTGAAGTTCAGACTCTGGCCCTGAAGACGACTTCTAAAGACTCTAGTTTTGATCTAGACTTTGAATAAGTCAACTTTAAAGAAAGTCAACCTCTGTTGATCCAGACTCCCAAGCTTTAGAAGTCAAGAAGCAGACTCTGAATTGATCAGCCTCTAAAGAATGGAGTTTGAAGAAAGTCAACCTCTAAAGACATAAGCACTTCATTCGAGGAAATTGTGACAGACTCAAAGACCTTTTGATCATAAGAAGACTTAAGAAAAAAAAATCTCTCTTGGGTTGTTTAAGCTTCAATGGATAATTCCTCTTACAAGAAGGTGTTTGCTTGATGTGTCTAATCAAGTAAAAAGATAGCCCAACCTATTTGGTGAAAGTCTTCAACGTCTCTTTTTTCCTCTCTATAAAAGGAGTTGCAAACCTGAAGAAGAAAACTATTGAGCTTCAATACAACACACTGCTATACAGACTCTGATTATTGGCATTCAAAGAGAAGTTACTTTGTTAAGTTTATTAGACTTAGAACATCTTAACACTTGTATATTTTAGAAGTTCTTAAGTGTTGGAGTATCTTGCTTGTGTGCTTTGAGCATTTGTAATTAATTTGGTTATAGTAGAAATCTCTTGGAAGTGCAAGGGAATTTGACTACTCTTAAGTTGTGAGAGGAACCAGGATAACTGCTTGTGTCTCTTGCTTTATTTTACTTGCTTTTGAACTATATTCTGCTGCTATCATTTACTTACCTCTGAGATGCAACACCTGAAAACGTGATTTATTCATTGAAACTTTTAAAGTTTGCACACCTTGTGAATATTCTGTAGGTGTTTGAACAAGATCTGCCATTGGTGTTTCTCTGAAACTCAAAGTGTAGTTTGAATCGAATCGTGCAAAAAGTGAGTATCTTTTTTGAAGCTTGAAATTTGAGGATGATAACACGAGCACAAGATGAGTCACAACTTCTCTGAAGAAAAAAAAAACTCACAAAATCAGTTGTGGTTTCTCTGAAACCTCTGAAAGGCATTTGCAATGCAGCTTCTTTAAAACTTGACAACCTTTGACAATGGTGAAATACTCGAGATTGAAGATGATGCAGTGGAATAAATTCCCTCTTAGGCGTATGATATCATATTAGAGTGATGCATTGTTCGTGTGTGTGCGCGCGTGTGTGTGAGAGAAAGAGAGTGTTTCACCAGCACTATGCAAGTTTTGCTTGATTTATATATTCATTTGTGTTTAATCTCCATTACAAGATCCTTCACTCTTATATACACCGACTATTTGAGGTGGTTGTAACTAAATTAAAGTTAGTTACTCCCCCAATTAACTACCTAGTATGGTCATGTGCTATATAGCTTAACATACTCGTGCATATATAGCTTAACATACTCGTGCATATTATATTATCATACATCTTCATACAGTCTTCTAATAGATTGAATTAACAAGTTATTCATATGAAAATTTTAGTTTATAGATTTTATACTTGAAATAAAAATAAATAAATTGTCATACAATGTAATGAACAAAATAGTTTCAACTTTTGTCTGATCTCTTATCTTCCATTTTGTTTGGAACAATTTTTAAACAAAGTTGAAATCGTCTTGTCGACCCAATTAATTTCAAGTGAATCAAATACACATTAAAAATGCTTAACTCAAAAGTTAATTAGGTGAACTCACCGCAACAAGTCACTCAAAAAATATCCAACATGTTTGTTGAAAATTCGATCAATAATTTTCAACAATTCTCTTGTGGACAATACTTAACTAGATTCCTTGTAAAACTGTACAATGTTCAACACCAATAGATTTTTAGTTGCAACGTGATTCCTTGAACAGTTGAGTTCACAACAAATATACATAGGGGGTAGTTGCAGTAGGTTTGAATGAGTAATAGTTGGTTTATCAAACAATCTACTTCTCTTCTCTCTCACTCTATTGCACATTACAAATATTAGACCAAGTTTGAGGTAGCTAGAAACTTTAGAAAATATTTTGAAGTCATACGAACAACCATGAAGTTTGATTTTGCAATTGTTATTGTCGCAGTTAGTATTTTAGGAATTGGTCTTGAAAGATGTGATTCCAAAATGGTGCAATTCATTTTTGGAGATTCTCTATCTGATGTTGGAAACAACATCTACCTTTCCAAAAGTCTTGCTCAGGCAAGTTTGCCTTGGTATGGTATTGATATGGGAAATGGTCTTCCTAATGGCAGATTCTCTAATGGTCGTACAGTTGCCGATATTATAGGTACATCTTTGATGATCCTAGACACAACACCAACACTAACACATGTGTTGGTATCATATTGGACACGGATAGATATCAAGACACCAGACACGTCTTTGTTACTAGGTATATTGTTATGTTATGTATTAATATTATTTACTTGTGTAGGTGACAACATGGGGCTTCCAAGGCCTCCAGCATTTCTGGACCCATCATTAACTGAAGATGTTATATTAGAAAATGGAGTGAACTATGCTTCTGGAGGTGGTGGCATATTGAATGAAACTGGAAGTTTTTTTGTAAGATTGTACCAATATTTGATTAATTTTATGCATTTTAGTAAACATAGGAAGTTACTAGAAATATAACTTTTGCATGAGAAATCATTCCTCTTGCAGGTTCAAAGATTTTCTCTCTACAAACAAATTGAGCTGTTTCAGGGGACACAAGAACTAATTAGAAGCAAAATTGGAAAAATGGAGGCAGAGAAGTTTTTTCAGGAAGCACGTTATGTTGTTGCTTTAGGTAGCAATGACTTCATCAATAATTACTTGATGCCTCTTTATAGTGATTCATGGACTTACAATGATGAAACCTTCATGGATTACTTAGTTGGAACACTACAAGACCAACTTAAGGTTCATATTTAACTAATCCAATCCAATCATTTCATTTGTGACTTTTGATTCTTGCAATTAGAGAAAAAATTACACAATCATAGAATAACATCAAATGATTTGAAACCTCAAAATATGATAATATTAAGAATCTTACATATAATAAAATATAATCTAAATATACATTTATAAGCAAACACAATCATTACCTTATAAATCCGTTTTCTAATTTGAGTTAGGTCTTACCATAATTGTAAGATAATATCTGACTGTGATCTATAGACAATCCAGATCCTTCAATTTGAGGTGTTAAAAGTCTTTTACAATTTTGCGTTTGTAATAATTAGGTATTGCATGGGCTAGGAGCAAGGCAAGTGATGGTGTTTGGGCTTGGCCCAATGGGCTGTATTCCTCTTCAAAGAGTGCTTAGTACATCTGGGAATTGTCAAGAAAAAACAAACAAGCTAGCTCTTAATTTTAACAAAGCTTCAAGCAAGGTTGTAAATGATTTGGGAAAGCAACTTCCAAATTCAAGCTATAGATTTGGAGATGCATATGATGTGGTTAATAATGTGATTAGCAACCCAAGCAAGTATGGTAAGTAAATTTCCTCACTATAGTTTTTAATAATAAAAATGGTAAATATATTTTTTCTATAGAAATTAAATATTCTATGTGCGTAAGTTATGGATAACCATTATATAAATTCTTTAAGTTATGAATAACGATAATGAATGCTAAAACTTTAATAGTAAATATATATTTTTTTATCTTCGATGCAGGATTTGAAAACGCAGACTCACCATGTTGCTCATTTGGGAGGATTCGTCCAGCTTTAACATGTATACCAGCATCAAAACTCTGCAAAGATAGAAGCAAATATGTATTTTGGGATGAATATCATCCATCAGACAAAGCTAATGAAATGATTGCCACTGAACTCATCAAGAAAATTGCATTTAAACGTGTTGATGAGACACAATCACCTTCACCATCACCTGAACTTGCTCCATCTCCTACTGCACATGATTAATTGATTATTTATACTTTTTTCTTGTTTAATGTTGTAATTGTTTTTGTTATTTAAGTTGTATTGTAATAGAAGTATGTAATCTATGTGTTTGTTGAAAAGTTATACTAATTTTTTGTTATGGTCTAACATTGTCACGATAATCATGTCATTCTCATATATTGTTTTTGAAAATCACAAGGATCGCAACATAAGTGACAAGCTTATTAATATATAAGAAACTCTCTAAATGTAGAAAATAATCAGAAAAAAATCCATACCCCATTATTTATCTGATGAAGATCAACCATTAAGTTGTCAATTCACACAATATTATGTCGGGTAGAAATTGGGGGCATGATCAAAATTTTATTATTATTATTATTATTATTATTATTATTATTATTATTATTATTATTATTATTATTATTATTATTATTATTATTATTATTATTGGTGCATAAAAACTACGATGTAGACAATATTATTAGGAATGTCCAACAAAATAACTTTGGAGAAAAAAATAAAATAGTCATTGTTGTCGAAAACATTTTAGTCTAGAATGGCCTAAATGTTGGCCTCAAAGCTAAAATTTGTCTCTATGTTGTTTGAAATGTGTTGCAGATTGAATTTTCAAGGGGTTGGAAAATCTCTAAGTTCACCAAGTTTGCAGGAGATACCAACAAATTCACTGTCGAAAATATTACTAAATATCAGTCTGAGACAAGAGACTTGGCCAACAATAAGAACTTAAAAATGAAGTATTTCCCAAATTCTTTAACTAAGATTGATTTTACATGGTTTACTACCCTTTTCATAAATTCCACATGCAATTGGAATTAGTTGGGAAGAGTATTCCATGAGCAGTTTTACATCGACCAATCGAAGATTAATATAAAAGAACTAGTGAGTCTAAACATAAGTTCTATGAGTCATTAAATGACTACCTTAATAGGTTCGAACTACTGAAGGCGAGGTGCTTTACATAAATTCCTAAAATCGAGTTAGTTGAATTGGCTGCTGGAGGCCTCGAATATTCAATTAGGAAGAAGTTAAATACCCAATACATGAGGGACATGATCCAATCAGCCGACAGAGTTCGACAAGTCAAACATTTGAAAGCTAAGATGGGTAGGTCAAATAAATATCACAAAAAATAAAAAGTCACTTATTTTGAGGTGGATGAAAATAACCAAGGATCCGACATAAGTTATGAATATGTCAAAGAAAATGAGGTTAATCTAGCATAACTAAAGTCAGGGTCTCCCTATGTTTGTAAGGTTATAAAACCTTCAAATCGGAAAAATTCTGTAGAGCTAAGTAACAACAAGAAATTTGTTACAAAAACATATACATTTGATGTAACCAAGTTTGAAGAAATTTTTATCTATTAGTTTCTGATGGCTAAATTACATTCCTAAAGGGGCTAAGGACACCACCATTAGAACAAAGAAAGAGAAAAAAGTTGTATTAAATTTCATATTTTTGGGTCACAGAACTTCTCAATATGTTATTTTCAAGGATCTGGTGTAGAATGCTCTGAAAGATGGAAGGCTTAAATTTGCTAACAAATAGAAGCCTCAAATGGAAAGTGAATCATGAAGGTGAGAAAAACACTTAGGGGGGGGGGGGGGGGGTTGAATAAGGGTTTAGAAAAATATGGCAATAAAAACAACACAAGATTTTTATCATGGTTCGTTGAAATCAACTAATCCAGTTCACCCTATCAAGGTGATTTGCCTTTCTCCACAAGGACTTAATCCACTATATTCAAACAGATTACAGTGTCAACCACTAAGAACAACTGTCTTAGTCTTCTCAAGAAATTCTGACCACAACTTGGTCTTCTTAAGGAACCTTTTACAAATTACTGTAAACTAAACAAGTGTTTAAGTATCTTCTAAAAAGCTATATCACAAACTGTGATTTACACTTAGATTAAGAACGAATAAAAACTATTCAGCTTTGAGTAAGAAAGATTGTATGAGAGTTGTTGAATAATTTCAATGAGTTTTCAATAATTCGTTGGTAATTCGTTAACCTTGAAGAGATGTTGAAGACGTCCTTTTATAGTGCTGAAAGTCCAATGCTTGAAGACTGTGCAAGTAGAGTAGCTGTAGCCTTTTGTCTTCATATGACTTTTTCTTTCTCAGAAGTGGAATGTTCAGAGAAATGCCTTTTGCCTGAATCCTTGTGTCTATCACAAATAAGGAATAGTTCCGTTGGAGAGGACGTTGAGAATAGTACCAAGTTTATTCACGTGCTGACATCTTTTCAAATGTAAACAACATCAGATCCTCTGATGTGCTTCTTGTTCTTCAGATCAGATTCAATGATATCAGAGTTGCAGCAATAGTGCTTTAGCGTAAGTGATCTGATCAGAGCATACTTGTTTATCAGAGCCTCTGTACTTGCAGCATAAAGTACATTCAGAGTCTTCTGAAACAATGCTTTAAACTCTTCATACAAAATCTTCAACTATGCTTCAAAGTCTTCTGTAGCTTCTACTTCAGAGCCTTCTGGCAGCGCTCAGAGTCTTCTGATCACTTGCTTCTGATGCTTCAGAGCTTTGCGTAGAATACTGTTCAAATGTATTTTTGCTTCCATAATAATATTTAATTTAATATCTGAAACAAAAACACTTGAGCAAAATTAGAGTATATATTTTCTTAATACAAAATTTCATTAGAGTTATCATCAAAACATAGAGATATAATTAAACACCAATCTGTGTTCTAACAATCTCCCCCTTTTTGATGATGACAAAACATAGGAAATTTTATTCAATAAAAAGGATAAATATATAACTCCCCCTGAGATAAAGAATCTTCCCCTGAAATGAATACTCTAATAGAAGAAAATACTTCCCTTTTTGCATGAGTATACTATTCTAATTAAGAGCCTGGTTAAAAACTTCGGGTTAGAATCCTGGTTAGAATATCTTTCCAGAATCAGAGCTTGGTAATAGCTTGATTTGCTTTCCAGAACCAGAGCCTGGTTTACTCTTACTGATTTTCTTTCCAGGAACAACGCCTGGTTTATTTTTCATAATCAGAGCCTGGTTAACTTCTAGGTTACTTCTAGGATCAGAGCCTGGTAATCAGAGCCTGGTAATCAGAGCCTGGTTTGAATTATCAGAGCCTGGTAAACATGGTTTGAATAAGATTCTGGTTTGGGGATTCTCAGGGTAACTTCAATGAATTTTGTCAGATGATACGTAATAGTTCTGAAAGACTAAAATTCAATGTTAGTTATAAATTGTTATGTCTGAATTTCATTTTAGTAACTATTTATATTTGAACAAACATAATTTCCTTTTCTCCCCCTTTTTGTCATAATCAAAAAGAAAAACTTTTTAAGACAGAAAAGATTAACAGAGAAAAACAATATAAGAACAGATAAATCTATAAAACATTTAGATGAAAAACAACAAGATAACAAAACATAGCAAACATGTGCACAAACATAACAGAAAAAGAAACTAAGTCTGGTGAGAGGCTATTAACTTCAGAAGATCTTGAATCTGAGAATTAGATTCCTCTTGCTTAGACATCCAAGTCTTAATCTCATCTGTTGTTTGTTCTTTCTTGACCATCCATGTTCTGATCTCCTTGTTGCTGGCTTCTAGCAGAGCAAACTTTTCTTCTAGATCTGGTCTTTCAGTTTTGATCTCAAAAGAAGCAGGTGTAGATGTATATTCAGTAGCAGGAGCACTATCAGTGACCATTGCAGATGCAGTTGCAGGTTCTGGAATCTTAGAAGTAGAAGCTTGTTCCACAATCACCAGAGCTGACTGATTTGGCATAACAGTTTCCTCAGCAACAACAGCTTCTGGATGAGTGTCTTCAGACATAGGATCATCAGCATGAGCATCTTCCAGAGCCAGAACTTGAGATCTACTCATGTTCAGAAAAGTCTATCTGATTACTTCAGCAAATTTCACCTTTGCATCATCAGAGCAAATGGTGCGAAGATTTGAAGCAACAGTGTTGAATCTTGAGATGAATCTGTCCCAAGTAGCTTCAGAAGCATCTGGATTCACACTTGACAAGCAGTCTTTCTTCATAGAAGAGATCAACACATTTATTTCCTTCTTGAAGCCATCAAAGAGTGTACCAACATCCAATCTAGGTTTAGGTCTTAGGAAGTTTTCTAGAGAGGGTGTTTTTGGTTGTTCTGGTGGAGATGGTATTGTGAAGGTTGGGATAATGAACAGAGGGCAAGGATAAGGTGTGGAAGATGTTTGGCCAGATGATTCAGCAGAATCTTGAGGTTTAATGTAAAAGTTTTTAAGTTTAAGTCCAGAGGGAAGGGGATCAGAGGGATGAGGTTTGAAAGAAGTAAAGGATACAAACTCAGATGTTCTTGGTTCATAGCCACGGAGTAAGGGTGGTGAGTTTACTTCTGGTGGAACATCAGATTCAGAAGAATCAGACGAGGCAGAAGAATGACATGATGTTGAAGAGACATCAAACACCATGTTCAAAGGTTGAACGCCAATAACCTCAGAATCAAATATGAACGATTCAGAAGGTTGGATAGTTTTTGGTTCATGGTTAGACGAAATAGGTTCTTCTGTTTGTGGTTGTTGTTGTTCTGGTTCTTGTTCTGGTTGAGGAACAGTTGGTTGTGGATCAGATTGTTGTGGAGTAGGTTCTTCTGGTAGTGGTTTAGAAATTTGTGGTTCTGGTGGGGGAACTTCAGAGTTTTGTTGTGGTGAAGAGTTTTGTTTATCAGAGGAGGGAATATCAGATGGTTGAGAATGTGTTGGTTTAGAGTTATACTTTTCAGATGGAGTTGCTTGTGGTTGGGGTACAGAAGGAGCTGTAACAGAAGGTTTCTTAGGTTTAGAAACACGAGGAGGAGAAGATGAAGGTGATGGTAAAGGTTCATGGAGAGTTTGATCAGATGTTAGTACCTCTTTGACAGTTTGCAGAATATCATCTAAACTTGCCTTTGGAGGATTGACCTTTTGCTTCTTGACCCTTTTGGGTTTGACAACAGCAGCTTCACCAGTAGCCTTC